CTGACTCACTATAAAACAGCGCTAATCATTGGAACCAGAGTGAAGGTGATTATTTTGCCTTTAAACCACGGTTTGGAAATGTGTATAACACTAAATGGAACAAAGGAGCAGATCTATAGGAAATTAAAACGCAATTTAGGTATAAGAAATGGGATTATCTTTCGCCGGATGAATATATAAATAAATGTTCCATCAGAAACAATGAAAATAAGATGCAACACTAAGCTGTAAGCTTATCGAAGCAAAACTAATGAAAATGCTTACCTGTACTTTTATAATGCCATGGACTTCTAAAGTAGTACCAAGAGGTTTATCGGTCATCGAAACACGCCATTCAGACCTCCAACGACCAGTTCTAGGATCACATTTTGCGGGAAATAACGAGAAAACAACTTTTAGGTAAATAAATTACACATAAATTTTTGTTAGTAATTGCATACACTTAAATAAATGTTCACCAAAATTAAATAATGTAGATATAAAAAGCCTCATTCTAGTGTTTTACTTACGACTGGTTTTTAGAGAAGTGGGATTCAATACATGCTATTATAAAGCGACCATCGGCAGTTTGAGTAGAATAAACAGACACAGCACCATTTTTGAAGTGTTCGGTGCAATAATCTGTTAAATTTGACTCCAGGGACCTTCTCCAAGGCTCGATATCTGAGAACGAGCTATACAGGCCTTCATCAGGCGTGGGCTTAACATCATTAGCAGCCAACTTAAAGTGGTCAAGAGTAAATGATTGCTTTGTTCTAGGGCAAAAGTAGCGACCAGAACCGAGGTCGGAGATGGGAGTTATAAGTGTAGGATACTCACAGTCAGGAAGTTGGATTTGGAGCATTTGATCTCGAGTGTACTGGGCAACAGCACTAAATGGAGAAATAATAAAACACACCTACCTAAAAAGCTTCTTTTGGACAAAAGGGTCATCTCCAATCAAGCATCTAACATCTAATAGGAGGATTTATAAATATATTAAACCTACCGTTATAAACTTCATGAAACTCGCATGGGGGGGCGAGGAGCAAAAGATTGGCTGCCATTCGAGACTAAGATGGAATAAACATAAAAAAATTCAATTTAGAGAAATAAAAATGCATCAAAGGAGTGAATTAAAAAAGCCGAATACCCTTTCATCAGAGACGAGATGGTCTTCGACCATTTTCACCAGTACTTGGGAGCAGCGCTATTCACGAGTGTGACAAAACAGATTGACGAAATAAAGCTAGTCAATTTAGACAGCAAATCTATTTTAAACTTCTTTTTATCATATTATGACTATTATTTTAGCAGGATAGACTTCTACTAATTATTATTTTCTTAATATGTACTTAAACGGATTTGTTAATAACTTTTTTCTCTTTCATTATTTAATTTTTCTTTTTGTATCTTAAAAGATTGCATTTGACTAGTATTTTTCTGTTTTTGAGTGTAGAATGGTTACATTTATTAATAGATTATTCAACCTTGCTTATAATTTAACCAATTTATTTATTATATAATCGCCTAGCTTCATCTTGAAAAAGATATACTCTTAGGCAAATTAATAAGGATATCCATTTTTAAAGCTCCTTAACTGATTTTAGACAAGTAATATCCTATCGAGAAGGTTGAGAAGATAGAAAAAGAAATTTCTAAATTAGATCATTTAAGCTATGTAAAAAAATTATTTTTCGTGTTTGAGTAGAGTTTCGTCATCTTAAACGAAATAGGCTGAATACATTCCATAAAAAAATTAATGATTGGAGGACTTTAAATTCGCATAAAGTAAATGAAGAAGAGAGTCTTTGGTCGATTATACCAGATGAGGACGGATGAATCTCGTTGTACCGCAGCCATTTGGCTTTTATACGATATTCATTTTTACGCAATCCACAAGAATTCCTCTCTCATTTCAGATAAAAACGTGCTGAGCTTTCGTTTATCATATCATGGGCATCA